GTCTCCAGAATTCTTTTTGTATGATAAAAATTAATATCTATACCCCTTAAACAATACTCCCCCCCACCATTTTATCTATCCCTACTCCCAGCAACCTCCACTGCAGTTCTGTCTCTATGTTAATGACATCTTTGAAGCAGGTTCACCGTGCACTGGTTACCAACGTACTTGGGTCTGGGAAATAGAACACCCCATACAGCAAGTTACAGACTCCAGTCAAAGCCTCTAAAACAATTCCAAGAATCCTACTGCTGGCACAGGCTGGGGAGGAGCTCCTACTGCTTGAGACTCCACAATCAAGCTGTCTCTGGCAGCAGAAAAGAGAGTGGCTCTTCTCACTACTGCCCCCAGAAGGACAGCAGCTCTGCTATCAACTATCAACTGCTAAAAATCTGAACCCTTTCTCTGACTACCCATCAGATGGGTTACTATAGAGTGGTTTTGGATTGAGATGAGGGAGGGGAAATGCCTGATCTCACTCAAATGTGCTCATTTTCCTGGTCTGGGTCACAGCCAACCAGCACAGTCCTGTGGGCACAATACCTTCACTTGCCAGGTTCCTATAAAATAAGAGTATCTTTCTTGACTGTGGAAAACATGGGGGTGAGGAGGGTCAAGGAATAGCAAAAGGAGTACTTGGAGATTCCTGAGCCGTCTACTCTGGTTTCCGCAAATGTTTCCAATCCATTTAATTCGTGATAATAAACACCTTTCTGCCTAACCAGCCATTATCACTTTTCTCAGATCCAAATGATTCAGTGATAAAACTAAAGAGAAAAAATACACTTTTCAACATTTAAGCTGACCAGGAGGCTGTCTCTTGTGTTTACTTCTCCATATCCCACTACATGTTTCATCTTCCCTTTGTCTCACTGGACATCCAAGTGCAGATAATGCTTCACGTGACTGATCCCTAGAACTTCATCCTGATGACTGTTGAAATCTTCTCTGAGTTTTACCAGTGGAAATGGCAATAGATAGAAACATTCCAGAAGGTCCCCTAGGGTCCATATTTTCTGTACTTCCTCTCTAAAATACGTAAAATCAATTCTGTTTGCTCTTGCTTTATATGGGCTAGATCTACGGCCACAACACACACCCTAATGCCCTGTGTTGACAACTTTTCCAGTATTGTATTAAGTATAAAAGGTCACATGCTTATCATATCGTTTCTTCCAATTTAATGAAACAATTGTTATGTCAACTCTTTGGATTCAGAACCATCCATCAGAAAACCACAACCCTGAGAAAATAGAAATCGACTATTTCAAGCTGTTCAGTTGACATAACAAGGATGAGCCTACAGCTCATTTTCAAGATATAAATATTCTGTTTATGGGAGTAAAAGCACCAATCACAGTTAGTGTTTCAGAGCCTCCACCACATCTGACAGCACAGCAATTCACTAGCACAAGGGTTTGTGTGCCAGCTTTGCTTGACAGATAATGGTTTTTTCCCTGTCTATTGGGAAAGGTGCACCTGTGCACATGACAAGAGTATGAGCTGCACTTTGCTTCACCTTTTTTGAGTTAAATAAGTTGCTTGATCCAGAGCCATATTATGAAAGAACTTCCTGACTCTGATGAAAACACTTTGAAAATCCTTAAATAATATTTTATGTGGAAACGTAACCAAAAAGGAAGGCAAATTCATATATAGTAAAATAACCACTGCCCTCCTCATGTTATATGAGGTCCACTGAAATCACCCGATACCAGCTATTAGTCTGAGCCCTGATGTGTGGTACAATGTTAAGGGTTCTGAAGGGGTCAGTTTTCTCGGCAAATTAGGTGTTCAGAAGATCCAGTAGCCCTGTACATCTCAGTTAGTTGAAAGTCATATTGTTGAGTCCCCATGGGGACCTCCATAACAATGGTTCGTGAGACTCTCTGGGAAAGCTGGGAAAGGTGACTGACTGAAGTCCATGTGTTGAATCATCTTCATTGTTAAAAGCCCCTGCTCTTTACTGGCATTTCAATTAATACTCACTTGTAAAGCTTTTTTTTTTTTTTCTCTCTATTATGGCTCATTTTTGAAACTTCTAGTCATAGCTCTTGCAGAATGACTTTGTCTGAAATCATCCTGTTGTCTTTCTTTTAAGGCCTGATGACCTGTCAAAACCAGCAGCCAATATTATTAAATAGCTGTTCTCTTTGTAATGTGATCATCAGATGTAACCCTTGCAGTTTACTCATTGTTATGATTTTTACATTTCCAGGGCTTCCTTGACAATGGCACGGATGTGACTCCATCCAGCATCCATTGTTGTGAGAACTCTATTTGGAATATCATCATGTGGGCATAAATATAATGGAGATTTTCACAGGATGCAATGGTTAATATTTAACATTAGGCAAAATTTTCTCTAGTCCTACCCTTGGAGCTCTACTGGATTGGAAAAATATTTTAGGTAAGGACAACCATTTGGTAAAGTTTCAAAAATAAAGGTTACAATGAAATTTTATGTAGCAAGAGTATGAATTATATGTAGTCCAGAATACCATTTTTTTGTGGAATGTAACAACAATTATTTAAATGTATGTAATTCAGATAATACTTTACAAATATGTATATATGGCATATATAATAGAATGTATGTTCCTAAATATGAATACTGTATATATTTGTAGCCAACATTTTATCAAGTAAATATACATTCACTTCTATGTATCTTAAATATATACACACATTTTTCCATAAATAAGATTAATTTTAATTTTTTATTGAAATACTAATTAGTTTTAATTTTTTTCTCTTAATAACTTCATAATTTGATTATTAAATATTCACATTTATACTACCAATTTAAGAAAAAATACATATGTTTATAAAAGTAGAGGTGTAAATACTGTATCTGGAAGAATTTATGCATTAATTATTGGTAACTGGTTAAATACACAACTCAGTGGCTGATAACAGGAAACATTTGTTTTCATGTTCATGGATGCTCATGTCCACAATCATCTGGCTGATAAGGAAAGTGCTCTGCTGAGTGGTTCCTCTGCAGGGCACTGAGCTTGTATTCAGCCTGTAGATATCAATTGTTTAAGAACAGTACTGAACAGCATTGACTAAACATGACACAAGATTCTTGTGACAGGTCACAGGGATGATCAACCTCCCAAACCAAATTCCATAGTTGAATTTAAGTCCAATAATTTCTAACATAGCTTCACTCATTTCAAATATATTCCTTTATTTCAATGAGTACAAATTTTCAAGAAAATGTTACTTCACTTAATTATAGAGGTGTTTGATCATTCCATGGATAAATAATTATGTTTTCAAGCTTTACAGTCCTGAAAATATTTGCAAATGTAAGTTTGCATTGATAAGAAAACAAAGCTGGATGGGTTGTCAACATGTGGCTTCAAATACAATTTTTTTAAATGGCCTTTTTTGGGGAAAATCATTTTAACTCTTGTAAATATCCCTCCTTACCTCTCGTGTCCTATAGAGTTGCCCAATAAGAGGTCCTCCCATGAGATTTGGAAGTCAGAAAAGGAAGACTCAATATTATCCATTGGTACCTAAGACAGGCACAGAGACAAAAGTGAGGACTGGAGAAACACCTGAAAAGATACTTTAGGAAACTGAGAACTTCAGCAACCCCAGACTTAAGCTTCCAGACAGGACTGAGGACCACACCGTTAAATAGCCCATACTTCAGGGGCAGATGCGTTCTGTTTTCTGAGGGAGCATAAGAGAATCCTGTTTCTAATATAAACTTTCCTGAATACTATATCCCTGGCTTTGAAAGGCTGTGGTGTGAACATTAATCATAGGAATTGGGTCATTCTGTCATACCCAACAAAGACAAGAAATCAGAGGAGAAAGACACTCAGGGTGAAAAATATTGTTTCTAGGATGCAACTGAAATAGGCCCTATTATCCCACAGAACTAATGTTTATGGTTTTTTGAATAAACATGGAAATTGACTTCCCCAGTCTCAAAACTCAAGATAGTTACATCTGTCTTACCTGAGCTCTTTTTTCAGTAAACCAAGCATCAGGCCTCCCAGATACTATCACAGAGCTAAAATTAACGTATGACTGAATCGGGACAGTGAGACCTCAGACCCTTCACCCATTGTGATTGCCTAACTGACCTCCTGCTTCCTGTTGACCAAATTGTCTTTCTTACCCCTCCATAATTCCTGTTTTCCCACATTTCTCCCCTGCTATGTAAACTCCTAATTTTAGTTGGTCAGGGAGACACATTTGTGAATGGTTTCCCATCTCCTCGGCTGGAGCACCTGATTAGAGCCTGTTCCTTGGCCATACTTGTTGTCTTAGTGATTGGCTTTCTGTGTGGTGAGCAGCAGGATCTACACCGAATCCCTGGTATTTCAGTAACTAAATTCTCTGCAAGCTTCACTGCTTTGGCTTCTTGTAACCTGAAATCAAATTGATCCACAACTTCTGAGATAACTTGATATAATTCTAGGATTCACTTTGTCCACTACTGCTTACCAGCCTAAGTTCGCCAGTTCCCAACCCTTCCTAGTGCCAATGAACTTTCTCAAAGAGCCATAGGTAACATATTCCCTTTTTCATAAAATGCTACCTTTCTCTTTGTTCTTCCAACATATTGAAGACCACTGAATTTTCCTGTATGTCCCATTTGGGAAATATTTCTATGCAAATAAAACATTAAATTTAGAGATTCATCTCTACATTTTATTTAGACTTCAGTAGTTTACCATAATTCTCCGTATTAAGACAATTCCGGCTGAGAACATCTATAGTGGCTTCTTCTGTGTTATATAAAGTCCAACTGAAGCCATAAACTAGACTCCTCAGGTGTCATGATCTCTGTCTTTAGTAAATCAAGGGAGGGATTGCTATGTCTGTGTAGTTGGGGCTGAGAAAGAGAAAAGAATTCAGGTGCAGAGGTGACTTCATGTTCCCCTCTACCGACACCATCAGAGTGTGGCTGCATCTGAGGAACACTCTCAGCCCATGGAGGCATCAGGAGGAGCAGCTGGGGCAGCCCAGCCTCACACATCTGCTTCCCTGAGGGTTTTTGTTCGTGTGTGTAACACTGTGGGAGGGTCACTCTTATACTGTAGACAGTAATAAGTTGCAAAATCTTCAGGCTGCAGGCTGCTGATGGTGAGAGTGAATTCTGTCCCAGATCCACTGCCACTGAACCTTGATGGGACCCCACTTTCCAATCTGGATGCAGCATAGATCAGAAGCTTAGGAGCTTTTCCTGGTTTCTGCTGATACCAATTTAAATAATTGCTAATGCCCTGACTTGCCCTGCAAGTGATGGTGACTCTATCTCCTACAGATGCAGACAGGGAAGATGGAAACTGGGTCATCTGGATGTCACATCTGGCACCTGAGATTGGAAACATAAAAACAGATGTCCACACAATTAATCATGTTGTTAGACAATTTCCCTGAATAGTGAAGCAGTACTCAGAAAACCTGGGCTGTGTAAACTGCTAGTGTTCTCCTTCCTTACCTGGGAGCCAGAGCAGAAGGAGCCCCAGGAGCTGAGCGGGGACCCTCATGTCCATGCTGTGTCCTGAGTGGTTCTGACTCCTACATGAAGTGTGACCAGCCTATTAATAAGTCTTCAGGGCAGGAGGATGTGCTCTGGGAACATGCAAATGAGCGGGAGATGGGGCAGGCTGGGCACAGCTGCAGGGCTGTCTTATGTCAGTAACTCAGCACCGGCTCAATGTCCCCAGATGTCCCAGGTAAGATCAGGGTAGCAGAAATTTGTCTGCAGAGAATGTGTTTCTACTGGGGACTATTTTGTTATGAGAGACATTGTTTACATTTTTTTTTTTTGACAATTTGAAATATTCCTCAGGAGTCGATGGAGTAACGTATTTCATTGGTGTATGGGGAGTATATAGGAGGATATTACTTTTTGTGGGAAACACATAGTAAAATTTTAGATGATACAATTCTAAGGCATTTAAAAGACTCCTCTCTGATTCTGGTTAGGGAAGGGGGTATTTGTCGTATACTTGCAACTTTTCTGTAAATTTATCATTGTTCCTTTCAAAAAAAATTAAAAATAAAATATATTGACATGATGCTACATATATTTGTAAGTATTAGGTAATGGTGTTATGCCATTGTTCTTACCAGTATAAGTTCAAGCAATTTACTACAAATACACAAAGATGACACTGAGTTTTCTCAATGCATGCAGCACTCACAGATTCACCATTATCAAGAGTGACAGGTCTCTTTAATACCCAAAAACTAAAGGGGCTGCACCTTATTCTTGTTTTGGGCATCTTCATAGTCTATGTTCTTTTCTGCCATTGAGCATTATTTCCCAATGTTCATCTCTTTTAATGCGGGTGGTCACTGTACGGAGCATGTCCCTGCCATGCACCATCAATGACACTTTCCTCTTTTACATTTTATCAGTGACATCATCTTGACCCAGACACCAGCCTCCCTGTTTACATCTTTAGGAAAGAGGCAATCTTTTATCATGCAACTGCCCATGTACATGGAGAAATCAGTTGGATCCAGATGAAACTGGACAGGGATTTGCACTCATTTTATCTAATATATCTAATGTGCCCAAAAATGTCCCAGCCTGGCTCAGTAGCAGAGGAAGTAGATCCAACTATGTCAGCATCAGTGGGCTGCGGCCTAGGGCTCTACAAAATTTTACTGATGCCTGACTAGTGGAGCCAAATCACAGTGCTGTAGCATGTGCACAAACCTTCCTGCTGCTGTGAAAGCAGCCCAAATTTTAAGAGAACTTGGTTATACTGGGAGAAAGGAAGACAGCTCCATTTGTCTTCTAAATGTTTGCTGAAAATAAACTGACAAAAGGAAGATTAATAAGAGAAAAGGCAAACAAACTTCACTTAAAGTGCAGTGGGGCATCATCGCAGGGTGATGACCTGATAAGTCAATGAAATCCAGGTGTTTCTATTTTTTTCTAGGGAAGAGGGAATTGGGAAGTGTAGGCAACCTGGAAAGAACAGATGAGAATAGAGGTGCACCCTCAAAAGAACAGGTAATCACCTGCCTGGTGAAAGTATCAACTTCCAGTCTCTTCTATTTTTGATTCCTGTTTTGTGTTAATCTTCCCTGATAAAAATTCTCAGGAAGAATTTTCTTGACAATTGGTTTCCTTCTGAAGAATCTGCTTTTAAGCAGATAAGGGATATTTAGGAAAAGCCCTTTTGTGCATTTGCTGCTTTCTAAATGCCTTTGTTTTTTCATAATCATCATACAAATGCAGCACAGTTTGAGATGTTATTTTCTGGATTCCTTTACTTGCAACTCACCTGCCAAGATGCTGTTCCAGAGAGATGCAGCTATAGACTGAAAAAGCAGTTGACCCCTAAACAACGTGGAAGTTGGGGCACTGAGCACTGGTGTGGTTGAAAACCTGTGTAGAACTTTTGCATCCCTAACTTAATTACTAATAGATTACTTTTGACTGGAAACTTTAGTGATAAAATAGTTGATTAACCCCTTTTTTAGTTATACGTATTGTATACTCTTTCCAATAAAGTATACTAAAGAAAAAAGTTATTAAGAAAACCATAAAAATCTGAAAATATAGTTACTATTTTTAAAGTGCTTGCTCACAGGTGACACACACAGAAGTAAATATACGTGAATCTGCAAATTTCAAACCCAAGTTATTCTAGGGTTAACTGTACCATGATGAACGTAGCAGTCCCTATCTGTAATCTAGGGCTTTCCCCTTTGTTGTACCTGTGCTCACTTCCAATGACTATATATACGTCTTAGGTTCTTATGATCTTGGGCAGAGAGATCTGCCTGCCTGCCTTGCTGACCAGATGGCCTGGAATGTGTATCTCTTAGAAAAGTGCTATGGTTTGACTATGTCCTCCAGAATCCATCTGTTGTAAAGTTAAATCTCAGTGTAATGGTATTGCCAGGTGGGGCCTATTGGGATGTGCTTAGGTCATGAGGGTGGCGCCCTCTAGGGAATACATTAATGACACAACAAACAGAGATTATGGGACTTGAATTTTTTTCTCTCTTCTGGTCATCTGTCATGTTAAGACAAGGCCTTTCTTTCTTTGAAGGAGTCAATGCTCCAGGCATCATCTTGAAAGCAGAGAAAGCAGACGTTAACCTGCCCATGCCTTGATCTTAAATTTCCCATTCCCCTGAAGTGTGAGAAAATTCATTTCTGTTCTTTATGAATTACACAGTAACAAGGAACCTGTTCTAGCAGCTTGAAATGGAACAAGAGGGACAGTTCACAATCATTGAGGACAGGATGAGGTGTATACATACTCCAGCTTCCTCATCTCTCAGGTGGAACAGCCCAGAGGAATTAATCCATGTTTCCACATGTGGTTGATCTTCAGGTATCCCGAGTCAGGTGGGTTGTTGATGTGTCTTTTATCATTCATCTTCTGTTCCCTTCCTCACTTTCCTCCTTTCCTCCCTTCCTCCCAGTGTAAATTTGCTGCCTAAACAGGAATCCTCATTGCTGGTGGACCCGAACTAAGATAGTAAAATAAATTGTTTATCTTTTCTGTGAGAAGTATTTCCCATCTTTATTCTTATCACTTCTCTCTCTGACATGTAGGAATATTCAGGAAGCACTTAATTTTTTTTTAACCAATCTGTTTTAGATTGAATTTATGCAATGATTTTTTTTTTTTTCTGTTTGTTAAAACAAAAAAATAAGTTGTAAGCCACCAACCAGCTGAAGGGTCTCCTCTTGTGGCAGAGAGAACTTCAAAGCAAAAAGAAAAACTAGGTTAGGCCATGACTGGCAGGTGAGTTTAGATGTGCCTCATTACACTCTCCTCCCTTGGAGTTCAGACACAACTGACCAGCATTATCATTACAACAGAGATCTTTAGACTGACAAAACAGATGCTTTGTAGCAATAAGATACCATACTCCAACATGACAGAGAATAGGATCTGAAGAAAATCTAAATATTTTACCCTAAAAATATTTCTTCATCATATTCTGAAGTGGCCCTGCAAAGTTGCCTATAGTGAGGGAAATTTTCATTCTTGAGAGAATCTCTTCCCCTTACTAAGTCTTTTCCAAAGAGTCTGACTTTTTTTTTTTTTAAATGTCTGATAGACACCATTCACCATCTCCTTTGTCTGCTACCCACAGGATTCTTCCACATGACAAGAACCATGGCTTCCACACACCTTTATCTTAACTCAAGTATTTCTTCATGATGAATTCAGGTCTTTAGGCAGAGCTTAACTCTTTCAACCAGTGGCCAATCAGGAAACCTTTGAAGCCATGTATGACCTGGAAGCCCCTGCTTCAAGATATCCCACCTTTCCAGGACAAACTAATATATATCTTTCATGTATTGATTTATATCTTTCCTCGTAATTTCTGTCTCTCCAAAGTGTTTAAATCCAACGTGTAATCCTATCACCTTGGGCACATATTTGCAGGACATCCTAAGGCTGTGTCACAGGCCATAAGCTTTATCTTTGGCAAAGCAAACCTATAAATTGATTGAGACCTGTCTCGAATACTGTTTTGTTTACACTGGGTCACAAACTTAAAAATCCTCTAAAACTCTCTACACATCAGTAAATCTACATTAGAGACAGTGGAGTGATCATACCTTAACAGTTAAAGCTCACAATTGAAAGGAACCTGAGTCTAAGTTTTGGTCCAGCTCTCTTGTTTCATGAAAATACTTTGAGATTTTTAAATTTTACTTTTGAGAAGGAGAATTTTGGGGAATACGTTTATGGCTGTGGAATGAATAATGTCCCCACTCCAAAAGATGTCCATGTCCTTGTCTCTGGAACCCAAGTGTTATAGGAGTTATTAAGAAATTATTTTAGGCAGATAGAGAGGAAAAGGGGTCCTTGGGAAGGTTTTGTTTCTTTTAAAGTAGCTCCAGAAACATTTCTTGTCTAGCAGGAAAGCCCTGGCTCTTAGAGCCAGGCTGGCAAGCTTTGATATGCAAATTCTGCCCATTAGAAACTGAGTCCAGCCAAACATGGCGATTCCCACTATCTTCTTCCTTTCTCCCACATATGCCTGGCATATATGGCTGCCCCCATATATTCCCATGTGTATAGAATATTTTGGCACCCTGTGTTTGCATATTAAAAGGCTATGGTGGGAAAGCCAGTTACATTGCACGCTACATGACTGACACACCTGGTCAAACCAATCCCCAGAGCCCTATGCAAATCAGACACCACTTCCTCCAGCATCCTCATACAATAGCCTCTTTTCTGCTGCATGTGGAGTGTTCTCTTGGTTTGAATCCCGCCTTTCTCTGTCTCTGTAGGAGGGAGGTTTTTCTTCTTCCTTCCTTCTTGCATATTAAAACTTCCTCTCCTTAAAACCGCTCCACTTGTGTCTATGTTGTTTTATCCAAACTGGCATAAGGTCAAGAACCCTGGCGCTCTTCCAGTCATCAGAGCCATATCATAAAAATTCTACCTTATATAGCAAAAAGACAACTTGACCGATGTAAGTTAAGGACTTTGAAAATGAGAAACCTGACTATTGAGATTAAACCAATATAATCACAAAGGTCCTTAAAAGAGAGGAGGATGCTTACAGTCAGAGAGGAGCTGGGACA